CTTTCTTTCTTTCTTTCTTTCTTTCTTTCTTTCTTTCTTTCTTTCTTTCTTTCTTTCTTTCTTTCTTTCTTTCTTTCTTTCTTTCTTTCTTTCTTTCTTTCTTTCTTTCTTTCTTTCTTTCTTTCAAGTCTTACTCTGCATTTCAGGCTGGCCTTGAACCCATGGCCGTTCTCCTACCTCAGCTTCCTAAGTTGTGGGATTACATATGTGCACCACTGTGCCTGGCCTCCTGTAGACTAATTGTAAATCAGGAAGTTCTGTGTGTCCACATTGGTCTCCTCCTTAATGCTAAGACAGTAATTCCCAAATTTGGTCATCTTATTATCACCTTCATTGCTGTTGCTATATTCTTACAGCAACTACACTATTATTGACTTAATTTATTTACTACATTGAATCATTTTATTTGTTTTATTTAGCCTCATTTTAAACAAAAATATATACAATCAGATTTGGTTGATACCGTTATATTTGCCTAATACACATTAGAATATAACATTAACATTTTTAAGAAACTTAGTTCATATTCATCCCCTGAAATTATCCCACATATCACCAGCACTATATGTCACATGTCAGAAACCCTGCAACAAAGTGCTTCCATAAGTGTACAGATAACTTACTGTTATACCGTTGGGCTGGTGGAGAAGAAAGGCATTTACATACAGAGTGTGGTGAGCACTTGAAAAAATGGGGGTCCTGTGGGTGGGTATAATGGGGAGACTCTTTTGAGGGATGAAGATTTTTTGTGGAAGGCAAGATTAATGTTCCTTAGAGGTCACTTCGTACTCGTTCATATGAAATCTTTGAGGAATTACTATTTTTGTGTGTATCGACAAGGCTCACCATCCTCTGTAATCTAGGGAAGAGAAGCAAAGAGAGTTAACACTTGTCACGGGACAGTCGCAGGGCTGGGCGCCCCCCCATATATTATGTCATCAAACTCACATCTGAGGGCTGTTCTCCAGAGTTTGCAGCTATTCCACAAGGAGGGTTAAGCACTCATTTAGAATCACACAGTTGTCAAATGGTAGAACCAAATTTGAGCCCAGGTATATCAGACTCCAGAGCTTTTTTTCTACTCTGCCATATTTCTGCCGATGCTATTGTTTGTCTGTTGTGTCTGGAACGTTTTATGCTTTACTACAGTGTAGCCTCAGTGATATTTTAAAGAAGTCAAGAAGTAAATTACACATTTTAGAGCTTTGATTTCCATTCTGTCCTCTATTAGCAAGGTTGACCAGTGCTAATACCATTAAGAGGTACATGTCTTCCATTCAGAACTGAATACCTAGGAAGTACGAACTCAGAACAGAGAGTCTTATGGCAGATGGTTGATAAAGAGCCAGAGAGTTTAAATACCATCTGTCACTACTATCTGGGTTGAATAATTGCCCATATTGACCCACAGAAGCATTCTGCAAAATGGCTTAGTGCTGTGCTGTTTATCTTCCACTTTTGACTTTTTGTGGGCTATTTTTACTCCACCTTGGGGTTTTGTTTCTTTGGTTTATTTTTTTTGTTTTTGTATCAGGGATCGAACTCAGGACCTTGCGCCAGGCAGGTGG